TCCTCCTCCTCATCCTCCGAGTCCTCCTCATGGCTGGCCATGACAATACACTGCAATGGTTGTGTTGTGCAGCTAGTTCATTATTGAGAAAAATGGGTTAATCTCAAGTTGATAATAGACTAAATCCTATTGCTAGCCCAAGTAGAGTAGTAGTAGTAGTAGTAGTAGTAATTTTGTGCTTTCGAGTTATTTCTGATTTATGGTGACCCTTAGGCAAACCTATCATGGGGTTCTCCAGAGGGAGATTTGCCATCATCCTCTGAGGCTGAGAGAGTGTAACTTGCCCAAGGTCACCTAGTGGGTTTACATGGCGTAGCAGAGATTTGAACCCTGGTTTCCAGAGTCATAGTCCAACAATCAAACCACTACACCACACTGACTCCTGATTAGACCTATTAAATTAATGGGATTAATTTATGTGTTGAATAGCCATTGATTCAATGATTCTCCCTTAATTGGGATTAATCTATAGGATTCAGTCTACTAGTGCTAGTTACTTCCAAGTTGTACTTTATATGCTCAGGTTTATGCATGAGATGGTTCATCTGATGTCAGCATTTCCAGTGATAAGGGCCATTGGAATTTGCTGGCTAACAACATCCTACCCTGTAACTTTTTAAAGATGAAAAATAGGACACATGTAGCTGAGTGGTATCAGAGTGTAGTCAAGTTGGCAAATGTTATTAATGAGGAAGAGCAAACAAGCTAGGAGAGGCTACAGCAGTTTGCTGCTGCTTGAGTTTTTTGGGAAGGGCAACATTCTGCTCCCCCTCTCTATTTGCTCCTGCTGTGTTAACTGAGTTCAGCTACTTTTGCATTTTGAACTCAGTTTGCAGCAATTGGAGCAAGCTGAGGACAGAGGAGAAAAGGGGGAGGAGGAGAGAAAAACTGGGACATTTTACAGCAGCTGAAAAAGTGTGATGACTGTGGATTAATTGGCATTTTCCTTGTCAAATCAGGATAGTTACTGGGTATGCAACATTTGAAGGACCACATGTTTACTACAACTTGTTTTAGACCTAAATCTAATTCTAAATTCAGCATCAATGGAAGTTTCATAAGCATTTGCCTATCACTTTCTCATTGTATTCCAGGACAAATAATTGGATTTCAGCCTCAGAAAGTCATAGCATGTTTCAGCTGTAGAAGCTGAGATGAAAGGTATTCATTCTAAAGGAATGACTTCAGGAGCCAAGGGAGAGGCAGCAGTCAGGAATGAGTCAAACTGACTCTTTTTAGTTGATTAGACCAACGAATTTTAGCAAAGCAGAGATATACTCCTGTGCCTTTTGAAGAAGCCCAGTCGTTTGTCCCTTTGATATCGTATTCATCTCTATATCTCTTAATTGTATTTTTAACCTTTCTCTGAACCTATTTTAATTCTCAGAATTAATCTCAACACCTTGAGGGAAGAAGAGGGAGAGTGAAGATGGTTACATTTGCTACTGCTCTATCTTTCTAGGGTAGTCACTGATATTAATAAAAGATTCCTTTGGATAGTGTGCAGCCTTTTAAATCCCTCCTCAACTCCTTGATACATAATAAACCAAATCCAGCCCAAATGACTTACTGCTCTTCTCTTTATCACTTGATTCCAGCTCTTACTCCTTTGACACCTTAATCTCTGAAAGGGCTTCATCTTTATTAAATGAAAAGAATACACAGACAGACAGACACCATGTGCACAAGTGAGGTCTCTCTTTCTCTCTCAACACCTTGGACTGCAAAAGAAAACAATTCTGACTTTTCTCTAGACTTGGTTTACAAAAGACATGTCACTGTTTCTGTACAAAAATTAGTGAGAGCAACTACTTTTAACCAGCTGATGGGCTCATTGACATGGTGAATCTAACTCATAGGTGGTTTGTGGCTAGGGCAACCATAAATATTGAGATCACCCTTGCACACAGAGAATTGTAGGCAGAAGTTGCTTCACAACTTGTGACCATCACTTGGGTTTCCAGGTGGAAAACTGGGGAGAACTTCTGTACCTTTAATGTTGTGTAGAAGGAGGAATTTGAGCAGGTGTTGCTTGTCATGTAGCCAGGTAACAAACACTGCTAATTAAAATTCCATTTTCTGTTCAACCATCAAAGCTACAAAAGCCATCTGAAGTTTTTCATTCTGCCATGGAACCCACCCTGATATGGAATTTGTCTCCAATCTAACCTGTTTAATGTTAGGAATATTATGAAAGACCCAGGCCTGAATCCTACTGATACGGCCAGCTGGAGCAAACATATTGAATAAATTCTTGAATGGTTACTCAACATGAAGGGAAATCCCATTAATTCAATATCTCTACTCTAGACCAACAATAGATTTGTGGGCATTTGTAGGCAATAGATCCCACCTTGGATCTCATATACGAGAAAGATGGAGGTATACATTCAAGAAATAAAGGAATATAGCTTGTGGGCCTCATCTCTACTTTACAAGACAATTGGATAAATTTATGGAAGATAAGGCTGATCTCTCCCTAAAAGCCAAGATTAATAAACTGAGACTGTCAGATTTTAGACATATCATGAGGAGACATGACTCACTAGAAAAGACAATAAAGTTTGTAAATTAGAAGGCAATAGGAAAAGAGGAAGACCACATTCCAGATGGATATTCAATCAAGAAAGTCAGAGCCCTAAGTCTGAAAGAGTTGAAAAAGGCTGTTGCCTATAGGGTGACTTGGAGGTCTCTTGTTCACAGGGTAATCTTAAATTAAAGTCAACCTGGCAGTTAACAACAACAAAAGGTAACAAATGGCTAGTAATCATTGTTGGCTATATACTACTTTCAGCATCAGATACAGTATAAAAACTAGTAGCTGAGGAACATGGATTGGGGTTGGTGTGGGGTGCTAGGACACTTGTATCATGCCTTTAGCTCTTGCTTGACAATCTAACATAAAATCAGAATGCTAGGTGAGATAGAATGCTGGATTTTGGTCTGATTCAGCATAGCTCTTCTTATGTTCTTACAAATCTTTTTGTTCTGTGCCATCTATATTTCTTTAAACAAAGTTGGAAAAAATGTAAATTATTTCCTGTCATACCCAGAGACAGGGCACCCATTAAATTTAATTCTTACTCCTGTTGATTTAATTGTATGTCAGCATGTGCTAATTCAGATTCTAATTTTTTTTTAAATATGCAAGAAATAATTGTACATATAGCTGACATATCCTGTGCCATTTCTGTCCATTATATACGTATTCAGCAATATTTAACTATGGATCCATTGTTAGCAACTTATCTTCAGATATACGATGCCTCCTGTCAAATTCACTGAATATCTTCTTCTTCTTCTTCTTCTTCTTTTTGCTTCCTCAGAAAACTATGCTGCTTTGTACTATTCAAATTCCTATCTTCTAATGAAGGGGGAAAAAAATCACACGTTGGAGTAGGTGTTGCTAATCTAAGCACAATTTTCTCTGAGAGCCAAGGGGAGAAAATAAGTATTTGTGTTTAAGGGTTAAAAATAACAGCAACTGGGGCTATACTCAAATGCCATCCTTTCCAATCCAATACAGATATTAGAAATCCATAACTAAAGCAACCCTGACAGATGACTACCCGAACTCTGGAAACCTCCAAAAAAGAACAGCCCTTTATTTTCTGGAGGCATCCATTTCACTCTTGAAAATGACTGAGCCAGGTGATTCATCATTGGTCATCCCAATTAGAACAGACATATCAAATTAATAGAATTTATAGTTGTTGGAAGAATAATGCATTGCATTGTATTCTCCTTTCCCTCCTTAGGGGGGTTGCAGACTTCCAGAAATAGTGCAAATTGAGTCCACTTTTAGGGTTAGGGTTAGGGTTAAGGAATCATGGGAACTGTATTTTATTGTGGCACCAAAACTTTCTGACAGAGAAGGTTCAATGTCCCCCCCCCAAAAAAAAACAATTCCCATGATTCCCTAGCACTAACCCTAACCCTAAAAGTGGACTCAATTTGCACTATTTCTGGCAGTCTGCAACCCCCCATAGTTAGGCAGGACTACAGTTCCCATCTCAAACTGGATTATTTCTGGCAGTCTCTCTGAACATTCTAAGATGCAAGTAACTGCAGTCAGTAGGTTATGGTTGCAGTCTCTTCCTGCTATATGATCTCCAGTTAGATTATGTTTTAGTTCTTCTATGTAAATATTTATTAAAGCCATTATTGTTTTTTAAATCACAAACTACATATTTGCCATTTTTGAATGAGTCTTTATTCTTTAGGAAAACATATTTAAAATAATAGTCTTAAAATAACACTTTCATTGTTCTGCTGATGAAAGCTGAACTCTAACAAGTTTAATTTTCATACCTGCATATTTTAGTTTACCTTTAAAAGAGTTAACACCTTGGCTCAATGCTAGGGAATCATGGAGACTGTAGTTTATTGTGGCACCAGAGCTTTCTGACAGAGAAGGCTCAATGTCTCAGAAAAACCTACAGCTCCCATGATTCCCTAGCACTGAGCCAGGACAGTTAAAGTGGCCTCAAGCTGCATTATTTTTGGCAGTCTTCAAAGACCCTAAGTTCCATTGATGTGATGTATCTGTTTTATTTGAGATGACCAATTGTTGACCTCATGTATAAGTTGAGAGCAGATTTTTGGGGGCAACATTATGGATTTTGAAATGAACCATGAATAATTTAAGAGTAAAACGTAGGGGATGAAACAAAGGAAAACAATGGGAGCAAATTACAAAGTTCTGGCAGGCATAAATGTTTGTGTTTACTGTAAAGGCTGGATGGATGAGGAAGGAACTACAGTATATAATGGTTGTGTGATATGTGTGGGGGGGAACAACTAGGCACAGGCAGGACTAAGAAAATGTACACATGTCAAAAAGGATGAAAAGACAAAGTAAAGAAAATGGTGACTTATGTGAGCAGTGATTGTAGCCTTTAACTTTAATGTGATAATTCTGTCTGATTTTAATACAGAAAAGCTGATAAACATTCACAAGTGTCTTTTTCAGATCCCTCAAAGCTTGATTCCTCTTAGTGCTCCTTGGAGGGGAAGTGCCAAAGGGCTGCCATCACCACCATTTTCCCATCCAGGCATTCAGAAAGGTTAAAAGTGGTGCTGTGGCTGAGAGAATAGATTGGGTTGATGCTTCTTTTAAGTTCTCTCCAGTCAGACTAAACTCTCACTTTTCATCATTCTTCTCAGAGAAAGGGATGATTCACTTTATTGATAAGAATTAAAGTACAGTACTTATATTGACCCATGGATAAATCTGTCACACTGAGGTTGAGGCATGAATGTAAAATGTAGTATCTCTACCAGACCTTGACATACCTTGATGAAATCAGAAAACGAGACTGGACTGCTCATGGTGAAGATATTTATTTACAGGTGATCAGGAAGATGACTATATACAGAT